AAGTCCATCTTGATTCTTATTGTACCCATCAATGTTGGAAGGACAGCGCTGATGCAGGCTTTTGGGAGGGAGCTGCTGGGGAAGGAGATGCAGCTGCAGAAAGCAATCCTGAAGTTCTTGTGGATCTTGGCTAGGGCAAGGGAGAGAAACCAGCCACCCCTAGACAAATGAATAGCCTACCAAGTATTCTCTAATTAAACAATAATAATTCACAACAGTGGAGGAGAGTAAGAGATCGTGCTCCCACTTTGTTTTTAGGTACAGAAAATATGTTCTCAGTGTTTGAGGGTGCCTGTGGAGGGGTGCCTGGGACAACCAGACCGAACTGCACACACAGGGTTTCTCCCCTCCCATGCAAGGGATAAATCTGTAAAAATGTGCAAGTGGAGCCACTGAAGGAAATCTGCAGCAGCCCATCCCAGCCAGGCAAGATGAATGGCAGAGAGAATGGAGGCTATTTGAATACTGATGTGGCCCTCACTTTCTTCCATTTCCATTAATGACATGCTCATCAAGGGCAAACAATGGGACCGGCTGCCGGCGCCTGTCACACTGTGTGGGTGCTGGGAATGCCAGGCTGTCATCCCAGGGCTGCATTTAGAGACCTGCACGCTAATAAGAAGTGCTCTGTGCCATCAATGCAGACAGGTGCTTCCGAGGCTGGGACATGCTCCATTCCCTTCTCCTGTAACCCTCCTCTTTGGCCCCCCTGTCAGACACCATGAAATGCACAAATTAACAGCCCCATCATGTTGGGCGGCTGCTGCTGATGGTGAAAGCAGAAAATCAAGTTGTCACCCAGGGTGCAGCTATAAAGCCTCATTTCTCTCTGGGTGCCCTATAATAGCAAATGCCAGACAGCTGGATGGATGGGAAGCTTTAGATTAAGGCCCTGATGCATTCTGGCCAGAGAATTAGCACTGGTGTATTTCCACTTGGGTTATTTGTGCACAATGCAAACATCTGGGAAAAGCCCAGGCTTAAGGGCAGATATATTACCTTGCTTCATCCCGTACACCGCAAGCAATGAATACAACCAAAGTAGTAAGAAACCACAATAATTCCTTCCTCTAATCTACCCTCCACAGCTCAAAAAATTCTCAATACTGACACTACTAGACTTATTTGTGACTTCATGGTACTGAGAGGGCTACTTTTCTGTTTACATGTGACAGATTGTGCCACAGTGCAAATTACTGAAGTTGATTACCTTTGGTCACATTTCTAAACTCAATAGCTTCAGCAATCAATACAATCAATTGGGGAGGTGTTCCAATTTCTGACTCTTATCTTCAGGAAGGTAAGAAAGGAAAAGGCACCGTTCTGGGTATTCCCAGTTTATTGCTTTACAACACTACTTACCCTACTGTTCAGAGGCAGAGTTTAATTTAAGTCAGCATTAATTAATATTTTGATATTGGAACATATTGTCAGTAGTAGGGCTCAGCTGTGGTACATCTGAAATTACAGTTAAAGACTACCTTTGAGCATGTGCAGAATGTCCTTTCCTTCCTTCACCGTTGGGTGTCTATAACTAACTTCAGTTCCCAATCACTGCCACAGTATCAGGATTTGGCAACACCTGGACTTTTAATAAATCTTATTTTAGAAACTTATTTTAGATGGTGACAGCAGTCACGAAATTAAAAGACGCCTGTTCCTTGGGAGAAAGGCGATGGCAAACCTAGACAGCATCTTAAAAAGCAGAGACATCACCTTGCCAACAAAGGTCCGTATAGTTAAAGCCATGGTTTTCCCAGTAGTGATGTATGAAAGTGAGAGCTGGACCATCAAGAAGGCTGATCACCGAAGAATTGATGCTTTTGAATTATGGTGCTGGAGGAGACTCTTGAGAGTCCCATGGACTGCAAGAAGATCAAACGTATCCATTCTTAAGGAAATCAGCCCTGAGTGCTCACTGGAAGGACAGATTGTGAAGCTGAGGCTCCAATACTTTGGCCACCTCATGAGAAGAGAAGACTCCCTGGAAAAGGCCCTGATGTTGGGAAAGATGGAGGGCACAAGAAGAAGGGGACGACAAGATGGTTGGACAGCGTTCTCGAAGCTACAAACATGAGGGGGGCAGTGGAAGACAGGAGTGCCTGGCGTGCTCTAGTCCATGGGGTCACGAAGAGTCGGTCACGACTAAATGACTAAACAATAACAAATTTTAGAAACTAAACAGTATGTCAGAGATAACACAGAGATAAAATCCAGACTATCAGAAGGTGGAATAAACAACATGGATGTACACTAAGTTCTACTGGTACAACATAGATTGTCCAGGAACAGGCTCTTCAATAGATGCACATGCATGTGTATGTTTCGCTTGTGGTTCATCCAAGCAACTTACTCCATTGTGAACTCATGAGCTAAGGTAACATTTCTTGAAAAATGTTGAGAGGATTAACTGCGACTAAGGTGAATGATCCATTCAGATGTAATGTTTTCACTTGTAGACGTCTGTCGAACTTTATGTACATGTGCAGACAACTAAACATTTTGGGACTAAGTGTTCTGTTTTAGTACTTTCAGTTCCTGCAGCAGCCACTCAAGAGATGAAGGTGGATTTAACCTATTGCAGCCTTCAAGGTTTTTTGGACCAGACAACTTGTGGATTTTGTGAATGCGTATATGAATATATTTATAAATACTCTGTCTTTCATGCAGACACACAGCATCACTGTAATACTCGTTGTGGGGTTTTAACTCATCCAGAGATGACAACTGATCTTAAGATTCCTCAGTTGGGGTCCTGGCTAAATTCAAAAGGCCATCATCACCTCATGGGAGAAAAAATGAGACACCTGCTCATATTATATACCCAACACAGACAATATATTTATCCACAGAACGGGGAGAGGCTTATTCATAAATGATGGTGACAACTACCTATAGCAGAAGTGTAAACATTTGCCCCACATGCTGCCCCATGCCACTGATAAGTAATGGAGAGGCCTGAGCCCTTCAGACTCCAGAGACTTTAATGACATAATGGGCATAGAACTTCCACATAAAACAGGAAGAGCAACTAACGAAACTTACAACATAAAACCCCCCTCCTGTCATTTTTATAGTAATAGTAAAACACTTTATTGAATTTATGAGCTACATAATGACTATGAAGAATGTAACTTGAATTAGAACCAACTTGGAAGTATAATATCACTATAAACCTTTTTCTATTAGCCTGCTCCTTTATTATTTTCTTCCATTGCCTTTTTAAAAAAACCAAAAAACCCTAAAGGGACGTTTACTTTCTTCAAGATTCTCCCTGGAATCTAGTTCACAATCTTTCTATAAATTCTAGGCTTTTCGAAAGGCTAAGAGCAGCACACAGTAGCATCATTTCAAGTTAAATAAAGTTTTGTAAAATATACAATACCATTTAAACAAAAGAGATATAGGACGTTTCTTTCATCATATATCTGACATTTTCAGATAAGACATGCAACACAATTTCTGTTCTTTATTATTGTTTCCAGAGTGGTAGCCGTGTCAGTCTTTTGCACTGAAAAACAACAGTCTTGTGGCACCTTAAAGGTGAACAAGATAAACAAATCTATTATGGCATAAAGTTTTGTGGACTGGAATCTACTTCATCGGATGCATGAATTGTTAACTTGAGCTTCTTTTTTTTAAATAATAATAATAATAATAATAATAATAATAATACACGCAGCTTCTTCTTTTTTTGGGGGGGGTATTTCTACCAGTCTTACATTATTTAGAGGTGTGTGCATGTGAGTTAGAACAGAATCCAAGATAGGCTTGCTTTTTGTCCATCCATTTCTTGAGGTGTGATCTAAAACACTGTTGTTAAAAGCCTAGGGGCTATTTTATATCCAGAGCCATTATTTTTGTGGCCAAGTTTGTAAATGAGCAATTGCAAGGGTGGGAAATGTACATAACACACTGAGAGCAGGATGTTTTACTGTGTTTTCCAATTCCGCTTTACTTCTTTAGTCTCTTGCCGTCTCCCAGGGATTTTCTGAAGGGGCAATAAAATAAAATGGGTGAAACAAAGCCATAAGCCGGTTAAGTCTGAAAGACATGTCATCTCATCTAAAAAGAAGAAACGGACCATTTCCACACGTAGAGCTGACAGCAACGCCTGAGCTAGCAATAGTGCTATTCCATTTGATTTATAGAATAATGGGGTGACAAATGATGACAAAAATAAACTTTTACTGCACTGAACTGCTCCTTTATTTATGAAATTTGGCCAAGTAGTGAAATCTTTTATCTGCAAGTTGTAACATGGAGTGGAAACGAGCGATTATGGTGTGGTAATAGTAATCCAGTGATGGAGGCCGAGTCAGTTGGAAATGGATTGAAGTAAAATAACTACTGCACCATGATAAATGTGAACAGCGCTTTGCTGACAGATGATCTAACAGGTGTTCATAACAACTATATAAGAGGATTTATTTATGACCAGCCACAGCCGCAGCACTGTAAATCAGCTCCAGCAGCTGCACACCACTGAAACCAAGTCCCTGATGGAGGAACGGTGCAAGAACCCAAAGAACACAATTCATTCCAGAATCATAATCACCAAATAACACTTTTTAGGCAATTATACCATACTGCAGAAATCAGAATGACTTTCAATTATGAAAAGTTAAGCTGCCAACTAACTTTCTCAAAACAAACAAACAAGCAGTATATGGACTAGCATGACAATAGGGTGCTTTTAGGAGACAACAGTCGAAAAGCAGAACTTGATGGGACTTACACCATAGTAGGGTTTTGCAATATATATGAATTTCTGACTCAGGAAAGCTGTACTAGAAGCCACCATATCATCTTATGGCAGGCACCACTGTTTTGAGAGTGAGAGGCTAAAGGCTTGTCTACTCCACTTTTCCAGAGCAAGGGCCAAACTGTGTCCAATTCTGGGCACCACAGTTTAGGAAGGATGTTAACAAGCTGGAACATGTGCAGAGGAGGGCAACCAAGATGATCAAAGGTCTGGAAACCAAGCCTTGTGAGGAACGGTTGAAAGAGCTGGGTATGTTTATCCTGGAAAAGAGACTGAGACTGAGAGGAGATGTGATAGTCATCTTCAAATATCTCAAGGGGTGTCACATGGAAGATGCAGTAAGCTTGTTTTCTCCTGCTTTTGAGGGTAGAACTCGAACCAATGACTTCAAGTTACAAGAAAGGAGATTCCGACTAAACATCAGGAAGAACTTTCTGGCAGTAAGAGCTGTTAGAAAGTAGAACGGACTCCCTCGGGAAGTTGTGGAGTCTGGTTCCTTGGAAGTTTTTAAGCAGAGATTGGATCCCCTGTCATGGATGCGTTAGTTGAGATTCCTGCATTGCAGGGGGTTGGACTAGATTACCCTTGGAATCCTTTCCAACTCTACAATTGTATGATTAACTCTAACTTGCAATATGGAGTCCACATTTAAGTTAATATAATGCTTTTAGCATCAGTACGTTTCAGCTGGTTTCTCAGAAGAGGGTTGTGATGCATCTCATCTTAGGTAGGCAAGGCTAGTTGAGGATCCACAAACTGATGCTCAATTAGCTAATCCAGTCATTTGCTCCGAGTTAGGATGGTTCAGCTCCACGTACCAACCAATGCATTTTAAACTATGTATACATCCTTGCATCAGTATGTTCTAGTTAATCCCTGGGGCTGCAATATTTAATGGGTTATATAAATTGATTAAAAAAAATTAATCGGGCAAACTAAAGAAGTACTTATGCAGATAACAAGTACAAGCTGAAATGAGGTTTTTGGTCACAGATTATTCAGAAATTGTCTATCCGCTTCCAAAATTGCAAGCTGTAAGTAGTGAACCAAGGTGCATGGTTCTTTTTCTTTTATTACAACAATTTTGATTTCAAAACATCTAATTGAGATTTCATGTTTTAAATATTTTGAAAACAAGGTGATTGTCTCAAACACTCAAACACAAATATCTCAAATACTTCAACACAAAGTACTTCTCTACACTAGCTTAGGGCTCTGAACAGAAATGCAAAAATTAATTACCAACATGGTCAAGTGTTTCTCCAGAATCATGCCAGCAGGTGGTTGAACTAGAGCAGGGATGAGGCATCTGTGATGTTCCCTCTGATCCTTATGTCAGCCTCAGCCAGCATGTCCACTGGTCAGGTATGATGGGTGTTGGAATCTAGCAACGTTTGGAGGTTTGCCATTCCTGTACTTACGAGTGAAAAAAGCACACCAGCAAATCATCAGTCCACACTCTTCTGGGTATGTTCAAAATGTAGTAATTTGTTTGTTGACGAAAGATACTCCTTCCAGATATATGGTCACATTTTCAGTGCTTTAAAATAAAGCTCTCCAGAAGTTCACAGCTTTCTGCTTTTGTTAAAACCTGATATAAGGTTGCTTAGTCCCTCCCTAAATCTATCCTTCCTCTTTACTATCCCTGTCCTTGAAGACTGTAACTCCCTCCCCTGCGCACCAGTCACCAGTAATGTCAGATACATTACCTGTTTTACATCCTTTATGTCACGTCACTTCCTCCACCCCAAGTCACTTTCCCAATATAGGGCAAGTGATGATTCAGTTTGACTCCACTACATCCTCCAAACTGTTATTAAAGCTATTTCTGGTACCCTTGCCAGAAATGGATGCTCGTCCACTTTGTGTTCCTGTTGGATCACCACCCTTCTGCCACTTCATGAAGTCCTTGATTATCCCATGAAACTTTGGGCCACTGTAATAATTTTGCCTGGATGGCTCAGCAAAATGAAATTTCAAGTGCATCCTTCCAGCATAGCTCCATACCAAGGACTACAGAAGTCTTCATAGAAACAGTGTTTTTATTGTTTTCACTATTCCTAAGACTCAGGGCCAAGTAACAATTTAAAAGAGAAGTCACAAGAAGGGCCAGTGATAATAACAGACCCTACCCAGTTGTGATACAATTGGCCAGAGAAAATAACCTATTACTGGCCAATTAAATATTTAATAAACATTAGCTTATTACTCAACTGGTAACAAGGTTCTTCACTAACAGGAAAGTTAATTACATATAGAAACCTTGTTAACGAAATAATGGGCTCAGGTAGAGTTCATAATAATTTATAGGATAATCCATTTCCTTGCCAGTGCATACATCCAAAGAGGATTGTTGGCAAGGTTTCATAGAATTGCTGTATAAATGAATTTTGGAGATCACCTCTGGTATTCTGAGGTATATGGAAGCACAGTACAAGCTGTGCTTGCTTATCCAGCTCACTTCCTCAACCTGGTGCCCTCCAGGTGTCTTACACTGCAATTCTGATTAGTTCCAGCCATTGACCACATTGTCTGAGGCATTTGGAGGGCACCAGTTTGGAGAAGGCTGATCTAGTAAGACACTTTTTAATCATTCAACATATCAGTCAACTCTTTCTTCAAAATGAAGCAAAGGTCCTAAATTCTAGTAACTCCATTTCAAGCTCTTCAGCATCAAACCTCATGATGCTGAGCTGCCAAGATTCTGGTGCCTTAAAACTAGTTTTTCAATGGACATTTTACTATACTATAGAGAAGTGCTTCTGTCTCCTAAAACAAACTCAACGTATGGAGAGGAAACAGTCCAGCAGCTGGTGGAGCTGGGCTTCTGAAAAAGCAATGAAGTGCTAAAAAGGGAAGATTTCAGAGCTGGACTAGCTGAGGAAGCTTTCACGCTTTCAGAAGACTCCAGCAAAATACCAGAGAGGGTTTAAAGGTAGGGCAGTCAACAGTTGGATGAAGCAACACGAAGAACAGATTAAATGTCTCCATACCTTTCCAAAGGAGTAACTGAAGTTTCCAAAAATAATGGATTGCCTTCTCCTGGTTGCCTTTTGACAGCCAGACTGCATGTGCATGGGCTCAGCTTTCAATCTGCCCAATTCTCATCCATTGGCCTTTCTTTCTGTATCATCTGAAATGTACTTGAGGAAGGGCCTTCTCAGTGGCCAAACCTAATCTTTGGAGCAGTTTATGAGAAAGCTTCATCTAGCCCTCTTGTTGACAGCCTTTCACACATAGGCAAAGGCTTTTTATTTAAACATTTGGCCCGCTGGGCTGACTTGCTTTGTTTTGCTGCTCTGCATTTTAATATGCATTTGTAAACTAGTTTTTGAACTAGCTGCTTAATCTGTCTGCTCTTACCTGATTTTCTTGTGGCTTACCTGTTTTTGTATATTAGTTATTTTTTATTGTAGATTTTATTGTTGACTTGCCCATTTTTTAAATGGAAAAGTGAGGTGTAAATATAACAAGTAATAAATCAAGGCTTGGGGTACTTCAAGAGTGTGACTGCCTGCTTCTTTCCTGCAGCCTTATAGTAGCTAGAATGCCGTAGGGCAGAGAATCTCACTGATCTACATTGCATTTGTGGAGATAGCTTGTTTCCAATTTAGGAAACTCAGGAAGACTTGCTGCTGCTGTATTCTAATGATAGCTCTTTGTTGTTTTAGAAAGGGACCAGAGATATAAATTTTCTGCCAATGCTTTAGTACCTCCAAATTCACAGTACTTTGTATAAAGCAGCAGGCTATACATGAAAAATGTTCACACTCTGAACTATGGAACAGAGTATTGATGCTCTAAAGGCAGCGAAGAAAAATAAAGGGGAGAAGGGGGGTGCAACTTACTCTCTTTTTTATAGTGTACATGTGGGATTTTGTGTCAGCATCAACTGGATAGGTTCTCTTCTATTCACTTGTTACATTTCCTTGGTAGTGAGAGGGATTGGGAGAGCCCAAGGTGGGGTTGGTTGGTTGTGGTTGGCTGTAGTGAGGTTTGTTTGCATTTGTGAGGGGGTGGGGTTTGTTGGGTCAAGTAAGCCATATTGATTCATATAGTATTGGTGGGTTCTTCTTGGGCTGTGTATGTGATAAAGGGGAGCCATACTGGAGTGAAGGCATCCTCTTCTATTTGTCTCTGTGTCAGTTTCAGTCCATTGGTTAGCTTTTCTGGTAAAGCTGTTTCCCATACAACTTGGTACCAGTGGTCCATGTTCACTTCAGACAGGTCTCTCCATTGTCTGGCTATGAGGCTTCTGGCTGCTGAGAGTAGGTTGTTTATAAGCTCTTTATAATGTGAGTGTTCGTTATGATCTTGGAAAATGTTCAGTAGGGCCAGTTCTGGGGTGGCTCCCAATACCTGTTTAGTTATTTTGCATATCTCTTGTAGGACTGCTGTCCAAAGGGTTGGATTTTGGAGCATTCCCCCACATGTGGAGGTACTGCTGTATTGTTTAAGAAGGTGTTAGCCAGGGTATTTGGGTGTCCCCAAATTTGTCTTGTATTTCTTGTGTCGGTATGGGTTTGTTGTTTATGTAGAAGTCTTTTAGATGGTGTAGACCTTTGGCTTGCCAGGTTTTTATCTGGAGGTTTTGTGCTGTGTGTTGGAATAGTGGGTGGTGAGCCACGGGTGTTAGTGGGGCTGGGCACAGTTTGCCTGCTTTTCCGTTCCATGCTTTAAGCATGGACTGCATGAAGCTGTTTAGTGTTGTGGGGATTTTATTTAGTTTGTTTTGGAAAAATAGTTATGCTGTTGTGGGGGTGTTTTCAATGGTGTCTCTCTCCAAGTGGACCCACTGTTTCGTCTCATCTTCTAGAATATATGGGATTATGTGGTGTACTTTGTTGGCGATGTAATATGATTCTATGATTCTAAGGGAGGGTGCAGGTATTTGCGGCTTATTCTTGGCTTTTTGTGTGAGAAAATAAACAAGTGTAGAGAACCTATATTAACTGTTCTGTATGTTCTTTTAAGCACAGAATAAAAATTGAAACTTACTTACAGGACTTTTCTATATTGTGGTAACTTGGGCTTGCATAATAGCTAGGAATTTCCAGAGATGGAGTAAAAAACTTTTCATATTTTACCTGTTAGGTCAAAACTCTTGGCAAATAAATGAAGCTCTCTAGGACCATTGAATGAATGGGCATTGCTAAGCAACCACATTTTTCAGTTTGATGTGGGTCTTCCTAAACCATCATGAGTGATCCCAATGGCTTTCTAACTAAACTTTCTAAACTCAAGAAGAGATAGTACTATCATAGTCTCTCTGACTCTTTCCCATCCAGATATTTGTAATTCCAATTGGGTCAAAATTATAATGTTAATATTTTCTCTAGGCATCTTTTCATTTTCTTCCAACTTCTCTCTCCTCCTCCTCCTCTTTTTGCATTTTTTAAACCCAACATAAAATATATAAATGAATAT